AATTTTGAAAAGTGTACTTTTTGTGTGGACCATGTGGTTTTCCTAGGATTCATTGTTAGTAAAGAAGGGGTTCGAGTTGACCCCGAGAAAATTAAGGCCATTCAAGAGTGGCCAACACCAAGGAATGTTAGTGAAGTTAGGAGTTTTCATGGGCTTGCAAGTTTTTATAGAAGATTTGTGCCTAACTTCTCTACCATTGCTTCACCCTTGAATGAACTTGTCAAAAAAGATGTACCTTTTGATTAGGGAAATAAACATGAATAAGCTTTTCAACTTTTGAAAGACCAACTCACAAATGCACCCATACTAGCTTTACCCAATTCTGAAAAGACTTTTGAGCTAGAATGTGATGCATTTGGAATTAGTATAGGGGCTGTGTTATTGCAAGGAGGACACCCCATTGCATATTTTAGTGAAAAACTAAAAGGTGCCTCCCTCAATTACCCTACCTATGATAAAGAGTTGTATGCTTTGGTTAGGGCCTTACAAACTTGGGAACACTATCTAGTGTCCAAGGAGTTTGTGATACATAGTGACCATGAGTCACTAAAGTATTTAAGAGGCCAAGGTAAGTTAAATAAAAGACATGCCAAATGGTTAGAATTTCTTGAACAATTCCCATATATTATTAAATTCAAGAAAGATAAAGCTAATGTTGTAGCTGATGCTTTATCACGAAGACATACTTTACTTATGTCTTTGGGAACTCAAATCCTTGGATTCAATAATATTAGGGAAATGTATGAGAAAGATCTAGATTTTGGTAGTATTTATTCAAATTGTCAACAAAAAGCCTTCAATGGTTTTTACATGGTTGAGGTTTCTTAGGCTCTTCTGCATAAAAACTTCAACTCATGGTGCTGCAGGTTGGAAAAGTTTTTATCAAGAAGGCCAAAAAGGCGCGATAGGAAGGATCCCAAGAAGGACGATGAATTTACCTCGGAGTCAGAAGATTATCAGGATGATATATATGAACGGATACGTCTTGAAAAACTGCCATTGAGGTCTTGCTGAATCAGTGTGTGTGTGGTGTTGTAGCTTCAACTGCTGTTGTTGATATATATTTTTTTCTGGATTAGGACTCTTGATACTTCATTTTCATAACGTTATTCCTTATATGCTTATGGATGCATCTTCTTTAATCACTCACTTTGATACATTCTGAATGCTAGCAGTTTCCATTTAATCAATGATTTAAATTATCACCATTTTCTTAATATGAAATAAAGGTTAATCACTCTGGAATAATCACAATTACAGCAGAATGGCCTTGAGAAATTTTAATAATGAACATTCGCAAAATAGTAGTCCTCCCGTGGGAAGTTTGAATATAGATTTTTACAAAGAGACAGAAAATATTTCTTATTTATTAGAGCTTCCATCTAGGAATCCAACTGCTTATTTGTCCGAGAAATGCATGCTGTTTTATCTCACCAAAACTGCTTAGCTCATGCATGTAAACTGAATAAATCTTGAATGTTTGAATATCTTGTCACTTATTGAAGTGTTGCTGATTCCAGATTTGGTAGTTTGCTGAACAAGAACACAATCCAAGAACCTACATTTGATAGGATAATTGTTGTGTACAGGTAGTGCTCCATTTTATCTCTGATCTCTACTTGCATGCTAGTTTGTCGGCACAAATTTCTTTTATTTAATAAAAGACTGATAGACATGTTTGTTTATCTTCTAAAGAAAAAAGGCTGCTCCGAAAAATCTCATACAAGTTTATGCATGAAATATAAGGAATTTGAGTTAACTTCAGAGGGTTTTGGTTCATGTAAGTAACGCTTGTATTATATTGAAGTCCAAGTTGGAAGTTGTTTCTTCAGGCCGGCTAGTTACAATTCGAAAACAAAAGAAAGAGGAATTTTTGTGAAGCATTTCAAGAACATTCCCATGGCTGATATGGAAATAGTTCTTGTGAGTTACCTCATTTATGAAACATTTCAGCAACATTCCAATGGCTTTTTTATTACCTAAATAGCCTTTTCCCCCAATGACCATAAGTGATGACCTGGTTACAACTTTTTACCTGACAGCCAGAAAAGAAAAATCCTGGATTGACTCCAATGGATTGGGTCAAGTTTCTTGGATCTGCTATAGTTGGGCTGGTTAGTTTTTTAATCACAAGTTGAGTTTTTCTACCATAGTGTTCTTGTTATTTTCCATCTTGTTCTAATGCATTTAATATGTTTTTCTTCACAGGTAGCTGTAGCTAGTTCTCTTGATGTTAATACAGCTGATTTGCATATCATTGGTGCCGTTCTTTCCACTGTAATTGGATATATTACTAAGACATACTTCACGTAAGCATGTTTGTTAACTTATTCTTCCTCTCCTTGGAAATATATGCTTTTCATTTATCAGTTTGTGATTTTCACCTGCATTGCCTTAACTTTACAATTTGATCCTCTTTATAATATTGAAATCTTAGCCAGATCATCTATTTTTGGAACTTGGATTCTTGGTCATATCAGTTGTCAAAATTGATAAAAATGACTTTTTTATAGACGTTAAATTTTATTGATCAAACATTTGAATCATGTTATATTATGCCAATGATCATGTCTACCAAATTTTATATATATTTTACTAAGTTTGACACCTAGTATCAATCGAATCTGTCCCTAACAGGTATGGATTATGGTTAAACATTCCACACGTTTGTGTATGTCTGCATCTGATGAATCAATTTATTCAATGTGGTTACTAATTTTTAACTTGCCATAGGTTCCAACAAAACTTGGTCCAATACCAAAATTTGATTACACAGTCAATGTATGACAAACAACTGGACAGTGGAAAGGGTACACTTCTCCATTTATGTGATGATGTCATTCAACAGGAAGTAAGTGTTACTTTGATGTGTCATTTCTTTATAATTATTTCCAATAAATTAGTAGTGATAAATTTTGTTAACTTGTTTTGCCATTGTATGAAAACAATAGGGCTAGCGGAATCTAATGTAATAAACTGGAAATTTTCAGTATGTCACTATAAATAACCATAACTGGGTAAAATTTTTCAGAGCTTATATGATCTTGCCAAATGGCAATTTTTTTTATTGATCAATCAAAAATTCAAAATTACCATGACTACAACAGCCAACAGGATTCGAACTTAGCAAAGTTAGAACCTTGGCAATGGCATTAAACCGGCTTAAGCATGCCATATCTATTACTAGTAGAACATGAAGTGTGCACTCATCCTTAGGCACGCCCGTTACAAGAGTGTTTTTTTTTCTAAAATATTTTCAGTTGTAACCATATAAAGGTTTGTACTTCGAAAGACAAAAACTTCAAAAAAAATGTGTTATACATTCAAAAGTTCAAAAAGGTTTGTTATTCAGAAAAAAAAATACTGTGAAAATAAATTACAGACATATATTAATGTACTAAAAAATGAAAAGTAACAGACGTAGGTTTAGGATCAATTGACCCTAACAAAAGATGTAGGGTTTGAATGCTTGATATTCCAACCAGTGAATCATACCATAGTATTTGATTAGATGGTTTATATTTTGATTGGAACGTATGTATCATTTTAGTTTTAAAATATCATATTGGAGTACAAAATAATAATGGATTATTTTGAAATTTTGTAAGCTTTATGTGCATTGAATAAGCTTTCAATGTAATGGGTGGCTCTTCCTGAAATTAATTCAACAAAAATTTATTCACACGTGTAAGACACTTTGATTTACAGCAGTTTTTTTGGCTTGTTAGCATAACTATATTGGTTGCTACTTCTCAGACGCTCCCTATTATACAATTAATTGAGAACTTTATAAATGAATTATAGTTGAATAGTATTTGTATATGCCCAAAATGTAATCGAAAACGTACATGAATAAACAATTAATTTTTATGTTATTCGTATGCAATGATCTATTGTAATTGTACTACAAAGGATATTGTTGTAATATCAGCTGCTACCCGTTTTTAGTTTTTGGAGACTTTGCTGTATAGATATGCACCAGCACAACATCTAAAAGTCACACTAATATTAAATTCTTAATGTGCAGGTTAAAGAGGTAATACTATCATTTTTTATTCTGATGGAGCAGGGAAAAGCTAATAGACAAGTATGTACATCAATATCAATTGAGCAATCTTGTTTTCTTTGTAATTTTGCAATTCTAATTTATGGTTAGGTAAACAAGAGTTTTTGTCACATCTACTTATTCATATAATAGTGTGTTTGATTTGGTGTTCAACTCCAATAAACGCACGTTAAATCTAAAACAACTCTTCCCTTGCTTCTTAATTTTTTCTTTGGAAAGTGGGAAATGTGGTTTACGTTGTTTCAAATGTATTCCCAAACATGCACTAAGCAATGTATGGTAATGTGATTCAGGAACTCGATCAATGGTGTGAGGAGCTACTAAGAGAAGAGTTTGGGGAAAGCTGCAATTTTGACGTGGATGATGCAGTTCAGAAATTAGAGAAGTTGGGAATTGTCACCAAGGTGAGATTCCCTTCTAAACTAATTGTCTTTGGTGAAGTATATATAATAATTCAACACTTCTATTACTTATTTAATATATATTTATATGTTATTACTATGTTGGGTAAGTTTTGATTCTAAAGCATTAAGGAATACTGTTGATTTGAAGAATTGCTGGCAACACATTTTTTTAACCTTATCTTTTCAATGCATTCTTCTATTTGTTAAAACTTAAGTGAATTTTGGAAATGGGATCCACTAAATAGAAATTAAGACCTTCAGGAATTTAACCTAATATAAATGGATCACAAGGAGCGTTAGGAAAAGTAGTAGTAACTTTTCTCAATATCATTTTTAAGTCCTTTTTTTCCCGATTGGACGAGTCATTGTATCTCCTCTGATGCATTAGTTATGTCAATTCTATAGATTTTAGGATACGATCTAATAATGATGCATTATTACCGTAAAAAATTTTACATAGTCCAAAATTAGTAATTTATATGAATTTTAAGATTATTATTATTATTATTATAAAAATCAACAAAATTATCAACTGTGTAAATTGTGATTAAATGATGGTATTGAACTAATTTACAATATTAGCTTATCAACTTTAAACCTTTTAGTATTCATGAATCAGATTTTAAAAAAAACCAAATTAAATCAAATAAATCCATTTTATAAAAGCTGATCGATTAATTAAACCATTTCTAATAAAGTAGATTGATTCAATTATTAAAAAATATGGATCCAGTTTTTTAAAATTAAATCGATTTAATACAATTATCTATTTTATATTCATAAATAAATCAGTTAGTTCAAAAAATCAAATCAAATCACTTTATAAAAATGCATCAAACAACTGAACTAATTTTACAAACTAAATTAGCAGAGATGCTGATACAACTAATTGGAGATAACTTTTATTGTTGATACCTAATCCATGTTGCTCTGAAAACCAATAATTTTTAGTTGACTAGAAGCTTTCCTTGGTATTCAGGATATCATTGGCCGGTATCAGTGCGTTGGACTGAAACGGGCAAACGAGATAATAGGCACCACCACTGAAGAGGTTATCCTTAAGGCAAGACAGGGAAACATCGCTCCTTAATGGTGCTTTGGAATAATTGTCAATAATCATGTCCCATAATTTCATATGTGCCAGTCTCATTCTTTATTATTTTTAATCATTGCATGTTTGTAAAACCTTTAGTAAACACATTTAAAATTCTTGGCCAATTTCATTCACTATTGTCATTAGAATAATTTATTTACATTATCAGTGGAGCAATAGGATTTACCTTACATCCCCAATGGTCTCATCAGATGTTGAATCTAGGTAACCAAGATTTATGTTTTGCACTGTTCATCCATTGCTCAGCAGCTCACAGTCAGTTTTACAGCCGAGATCAACACCCAACAGCTACCATTCCAAGATCTCACGGTTGCATTTCTTAATAATATCTGCAGATAAGCTTAAAAAAGGATCATCTTTTAGCCCCTTATTTTTATTTTTGGTTTCAATTTGGTCGAGTTTAAATGCTTCCCTTTGATCCCTTAAAGTATCTATGTTAAACCAAACTGGTTCTTTCAATGAATCAGACCAGTTTGATCACTTTAGTTACTCATTCCAAGTTGTGAGAATGTCACATCGGTCAAAATTAATAGTCTCAGAACAAAAATCTTAACAATTGACTGAAAGACCAATTTGACTATTGAAGACACTTTAAGAAAGCAAAATGAAACCTTTTATGTCTTGTTTGAGTTAGAGAGAAATAGATGAGAATGGAAAAAATAAGTAAGAATTGATTTGATAGGAAATAGAGTGGAATAGTGTGAAATTTGTAATTTGATAGTGAAATTAGATGAAAAATAGGATGAAATTGACATTTAGAATTATTATTTTACCATCTCTTTATAATATAGTTTGAATTATTATTTTTTTACTTGTAATTTTACATATCTCTCAAGCTCCCCAAGAATCCCCTCAATGAAGAGGGTATAAAAAATAATGTGGGATCCCACTTCTAATTCCTCACAATTCTCGTGAAATACTCTCCACTAAATACAAGTGTTTTTTTTCAAATCCACTATAATTCATCTCCCTCCCTATTAAATCAACCCCACCAAACAAAGACTTAAACTTTAAGGGATCAAACTGGAATCTAAAATAAAAATGAAGGACCAAAATACTATTTTAGCCAAAAAGATTTGGAAAATGTCTAATTGCTAGTAAAATAAATCTATTTATCCATTTAAAAAATATAGTAAACCAAGTATGCCTGCTCACCTGTGAATTGTGATGTCAATTTTTTTAAGAGTTAATCACCTATACACTGTCAGTGTAAATTTTTTTTATACTGACAACCAACCAGATCTATTAATAATGCCATGTCATTTGCTCATTTAATTAAATTAAAATAAAAAAGGTACTATTAACAAATCTTATTAACAAATCTGATTGGTTGCCAGTGTAAAAAACTTTACACTGACAGTGTATAGGTGATTAACTTGTTTTTTAATATTAAAATGTTTGATTTGGATATTCAAAACAGTATTGGTACAAGATGACCCTTATTATAGGAGGCACATCAAATTTTAATTGTTAAATAACAGTCTAGGTTAGAATCTAGCAATATTTTAAATTGCATAATACCTGGAATCTATGCATGGCAAAAGATCATAGTACAGAACAAACTCTGAAATGAGAAAACAAAAGAGAATTATATAATATATAATATCATGACTATAATCATTCAGAGGAACTCAAAAGCTACCAAACTAAACATAAATCTTGAGCAGTACAAATAAATAACAAATGATAACATCACATGTCTACATTGACATTAGGAAGTACATCTTGTTTCCACAATAATTAATGATTAGACCAGCAAACATTAATCATATAATAGAGCCCTAATTTCTTTCTCAGACATCAACAACTGAACAAATAAATTTTCAAAATTTCATGGCAAGTAAACGACCAGTAGGTAGCAAGGTGCTTTCTAATATGATGAATGAATTGAACTGTTAATACAAGACAACATGTCCAAAAATTGGCCAAACACATATATCTTTAACAATGAGTCAGCTGGCTAGTCTAAACAGGTAGCACACATCATGAACTACCAGTGATTCTATACCAAATAAGATTATCAGTTGTAATTTGTAAAGATTAAAACCCTGGACTAAGTGTGGCACAATCAAATCACACCATACTGCCAAGGTTTCAAATAGCAGTAACAATCCCATGGCAAACCAAAGTTTTAAAAAGGCAGCTTCAATGCTGAAGCACTTGCATTGAGTCATCACAATCATAATTGTAAGAGTAAATTATACCAACAATCTTGAGATTTCATGAAATTGTAAGTATATTCTCCACTTTTCTAATGTTTACAACAATCTCCTTTATAAGGAAAGACAAGGTAATGCTTTTTAAACAATTAAGCAAGGTTTATGGAGTGTCTGAGAAATATTAGTGTAATGTTTTTCAAGCAACTAAAAAAAAAGTGTGTGCGCATACAATTCCAACAAACCTCACTAGATGTCAGCATAATTTACACTAATTGTAGTCGCATCAGCGACATCTATCTGCAATTTCTGACGATATCAAAGATGAAAACAAAATTGCAAGCGCGAGCCAATTTAAAACCCTAGCACTGGCCACAACAACACAATTCAAAACCTGGATGAATCGGTTAGAAACAATAACTACAAATCGGAGTCACTGCATATCTCTTGAAGAACCAAGAGTCTAGCCTTGTTAATGTTATAAAAGCATAGGAATATATGCTCCTCAAGTTCCTCAATCTGGCGCAAAAGCCCCTGGTGACTCTTCCAGAGCTGCTTGATTACTTCCTGCACAAGGTACCTCTCATTCTCCCTCTCCAACCCAAGCCTCACCAGAACCCTATTCCCCTCCACGGTGGCGCGAAGCCGCGCCACCAGGGCGTCGATGGTGGCGAGGTCATTGCTCAACACAAAAGCGCATTTCGTAGCAGCATCAAGCTGCCTCAGCCTCGCAAGTTCTCTCCTCTCAGAGCCACAAACCGGCGCAGCAGCAGCACCGGCGGCGGCAGCTAGCGTGACGGCGGCGTGCACGGTGGCTGCGACGGTGGCGGCAATGACGGCGACGGCGACGGCGACGAGGCAGATTGCGGAGCCGCGGAGGGCGCGGCGGAAGAGGCGGAGGCGGGAGAGGGAGGCGGCGGCGCGGCGGTGGAGGAGGGTTTTGAGGGCGGAGAGGGAGGCGCGGACGGCGGAGAAGGTGTTGGAATCGGGGATAGGGTTTTGGAGGGTTTGGAAGGGGTGGAAGAGTTGGAGGGCGCGGTCGCAGTCGCGTGGGGTGGGGTGGGTGTGGTCTAGGGTTTGGAGGAGGGTGTGGAGGGGGGCGGGGAGG